GGCCTGAGCCCCGCACACCCCATGTGGGGTAACTCCCCCATCCCCCCAGGGCCTGAGCCCCACACACCCCAGGAGGGGTAACTCCCCCATCCTCCCAGGGCCTGAACCCTGCACACTCCCAGGAGGGGTAACCCTCCAATCTTCTGTGGGGACTGAGCCCCCCCATTGCCCCACAGGAAGGTTAACCCCTCAATCCTGGGGGGCGGGAAGCTGAGCCCTGCATACCCGCCCAACAAGAGTACCCCTCCAAATCCTTGGAGGGCCTGAGTGCCTTTTGCCCCCCTCCAGCACCTAGGGAGTGGCCCTGCCACAGGGTGTAGTTACACCCTCTCTTCAGACATGGTCTCTTTCACAGCCTCCCCAAAGAGAAACAAGAAGCAATGTTCTGGCAGGGAGCAGAATGCTTTCCAAGAGACAGCCCAACCCCCCACCCCCATTCCAGGGACGGGGAACCCTGGGTGGGGTGGCAGGGTGAGGGGGGACAGCCCCTAATGTGGGAAGCAAACAAAGGTTGGGAACCCATCCTGTTTAGGAGTGCTACCTGGGCAGTGCTGAGGTTGCCATCTTTGAGACATGTTGCCACCTTATAATGTGGTGCCGTCCACAAAGACACTGGGGCTGCTTGGACTCTGGAGGTTCAGGATGGGGCCATGAAAACCAGGCTTGTCTCTTGCACTGGCAGCAACCTGTGAAATTGTGTGAAATGAGGACAAGACCTCACAAAACCCACCCACATGACTAGCCCCCCTTGGTGGCAGGGTCAGCAGTGTGGCCAAGCAATAATGAGCTTTGGGGCCAAAATCCCCTCACATTGCTGGAGAGATTTCAGAAACTATTTCTATATTTCTGGAGTAAACAGCACTTAATAAACACACACACAAATGTAATGTACTAAATGAAGGAAGTCCTGGAGTTATTTGTCTCAGCCCAAAACCCTGCTGACTGTAGACTAAATCTACCCAGTTACACTGCAGAAAATCCAGAATAACTCTACTGAAGTCAATGAATCTGGTCCAGTCTCCTAATTATCATAGATACAGGCTTGTATACATGTAATACTGCCCTTTGCTGTTACATATGTGTTTCAAACCTCCTCATGTTTAAACATACAAAGTTTAAACTCCCCCCACCACTGCCAGAAAGGGGGCTCAACTTTCATAAATCCACTTAGTCCAAAAGTAAAAGAGAAAACTATGCATCAAAAGTAAGGTCTGAAGACTCTACAGTTCAACCTTTATTATCCAAACTTTCAATATCAGCAATTCCTAATTATTTGCTACGGGATCATATTATCCAACATCTATTAATCACATTGAAATTTTTCTAAAACCTGGTTTATCTGAAATTATTCATTGTCCTCCTTTACCTTTCAATAACTGAGCTTCATGTGATACTCCACAATATAAACCCACTAGGCAGGAACCATGCATGAAATTCTGGCCCCATTGAAGAAGTCAAGGGCAAAACACTCCCATTTACTTCAATGAGGCTAGGATTTCACCCCATATTCTCTATAGGTCGGAGGCCACTCTGGATCCTTAATAATAATAAATGTGCACTGACTTGGTTTTTACTGGTAGTCCTGTAACAATGTCAAGATCAGTGGCTCTCAAACTTTTTTTACTGGTGACCCCTTTCACATAGCAAGTCTCTGAATGCGACCCCCCCTTATAAATTAAAAACACTTTTTAAATATATTTAACACCATTATAAATGCTGGAGACAAAGTGGGGTTTGGGGTGGAGGTTGACAGCTCGCGACCCCCCATGTAATAACCTCGCAACTCCCTGAGGGGTCCCAACCCCCAGTTTGAGACCCCCTGGTCAAGAGCATCTTCTATCACAACTGCAGTCAGGAAAGAATGTTATACTTTACATGTCTGAGTGGGCAAATAATCTACTCACGTCTTCTCAGTGCTGATCAACATCTACAGAAGTGAAAACTAGAGGGTATTTTTATTTCAATTTATGTCTTGCACATTTAAAATGTCAAAATAGACAATTTAGTAGTGTGGTTCAGAAAATAATTGGGTATGGCACAGCAACTGAAAAACACAATCATGCACCCTTTAATCTAAGTATATGTACATTGGTGATTCCAGGAGAAACAGACAAATGCTCAACATATAATTCAGGGGTCGGCAACGAGAAGCCGCAGCCAGCACATCGCTCACCCGCGCCGCTTCTCGCTGCCCCCATTGGCCCGGGACGGCGAACCACGGCCAGTGGGGGCCGCGATCGGTTGAACCTCCCGCGTCAGCAGGTAAATAAACTGGCCCGGCCCGAGTCGCGTGCCGAACGTTGCCGACCCCTGATATAATTTTATGACAAACATTCAACAAAATGGGAAAAACAAATAGGAATTTCTAAAATTGCTAGTTCATTCTGAGAGTTAAAATTGGGGAGCCTACTAGAATCTGCCTATTTTGTGACTGTGGAGAGGGAATAGTTGGAGTATTGTCTATTACTGGGTAGACAACATGTTCAAAGGAAGAAGTTTTAGATTAGAGATAAACAGCAATTACATGTAGACAAAACTGAAATATCTAGTCAGATGTGGATACCTGGGTGCAAAACTTACTCAATTTGTTCTTCAAATATTTACAGTTCACAGGTCAGATTTTGGTCTAAACTATTTGACAAGACAGGTTTATTAATGAGAACAACAAAAATAAGACCAAGGTGAAATAACTGATTTAAATGATCTAGATAAGTTCATGGAGGATAGGTCCATCAATGGCTATTAGTCACAATGGGCAGGGTTGGTGTCCCTAGCTTCTGTTGGATCGCTTGATGATTACCTGTTCTGTTCATGCCCTCTGGGGCCCCTGGCATTGGCCACTGTTGGAAGACAGGATACTGGGCTACTTTGGTCTGATCCAGTATGGCCATTCTTATGTTATCAGTTTTAACTTTGTTTTGCATTTGTACTTGTAGTTATTTTCCTAAAGGAAGGTTGATTCTCATTGACTGGTTACCATTAAAACATCTGTGACTAAATATAGCCTTTACACTACATTTGCTGTATCTTTATGCTAACCAGGAGGATAAACTATATATACACACATTTATTTAAGCAATTACAGCATATAGATCATAAGCAGCATTTAAAGACTCCAGATAATAAATATAAGACTTCTGATAAAAATAGCAAAAATTGGCAACCTGCACCATGAGGAAGGCTGAGGCTGAAGGACCAAGTTCTGGATTCCAGCCTTGCTGGGGAAAAGATAGAAAAAAAATGCCTGAGAAGAAAGATGGAGCACTTGATCTAACAGCTCTTTTCTCTCTATCTTCTATGAATTCATCCCTGTATTATTCTGCAGCGCAGACATACTCAGAAAAGACAGGGTTTGAAAGCTCCTTGATCTTGGTACGTCACCAGCCCAAACTGTAACCAGCTCCTTTCAGGCCAGTGGAAATACAAAATTTAATAAGCAGAAGCAAGTACTAATACAGCTGCCTGCAAGGACAGAGGTTACAGCAACATACTCAGTATACTTGTTTCCGATGAAGTGGGTTTTAGCCCACGAAAGCTTATGCTCAAATAATTTTGTTAGTCTCTAAGGTGCCACAAGGACTCCTGTTCTTTCAGTATACTTGTGTCACTGAGCCTAGGCCAAAGGGTGCTTCTGCCCCCAGCACAGTCAAGCACTCGAGTTTTAATGCTCCAGTGGACACTAGATCAGATCCTCATGGAGAAGATACCTGCATGTGACCACTTAATTATATTTATGTCACAATATCTGGGGGGCAGGTTCAGCCTCCAGGAGACCCTCTCCAGCACTATCTTGGGGGTGGGAGTGTTCAGCCTTCAGGAGCCTCTCTGCAGCTGTTGGGGGGTCAGCCTGTGGGGCGGGGCTTCAGCCTCCAGGGGCCCCTCTCCAGCTGCGGGGTGGGGGGCTCGGCCCCTCTCCAGATGTATGGAGCAGGGAGAGGAAAATTCAGAGCCAGCCCAGCTATGGGGAGCGGGCGGGGGAAGTGACGTGTACCCGGTTGCCTGGCCCCTCCCGGAAGTGCGCGACGGACCCGGATGCCAAGCCCAGCAGCTCCAGCCATGTAGCCACCGTTACCGGCGCGAGGGGGGCGGTGCGTCGGCGCTGCCATGGAGCCGCTAGACAACAGGTAGGAGAGGGGCGGGGCCTGGTCCTAGCGGGGACCCGTTAGGAGGGGAGTCGGGGACACCCCCTCCCTCCCTCCCGTTGTTGCCTTGGGGGCAGGAGGAGTTCAGCCTCCCCCTCTACCTGTCGCTGGTTGGTAGAGTCCAGCCCGGAGTGCAGGAAGGGCTCCCTGCGCCCCACACCATATGTCCTCACTTCGGTCCGCCTGTGAATAGGCAGCCTGGCCCCTACAGCTTGGGGGAGGGGGGAGATGGAACAGCCTCTTACTGCCCCACTCGGGGGAGGGGGGTGACATCATGGTGTCACTGTGCAGCGGCCTCCCCCGTCATCGACTCTCTGCACTGTCCTGTGAGCTCATTCCACACCAGTGACGTCATGCATCTCTGCACGGCAACGTCACAGACTCACTGCCCTGTGACATCACTGGAGGACTGCACTTACCAGTGACATCATCACACTTCCCATGACATCACAGAGGCAACGCAGACGATGACGCACATTGTCGATGACTGCCTGCTGACTAGGTTCCGCGGTGGCCTAGAAGAACTGCATCACGCCACTGAAGATGCCATCGCTTGGCTAGACGACTATGCACACGCTAAA